GGAGGGCCGCCGGGTCGCGGTGGTAACGGCCGCCGCCTTAATGGGGAGAGGTGCGTTCTGTTGGGCGTTTATCAGGCTGGCTTTCCGAGGAGGTGACTGTGTGCTCAGTACTGTAATGTGTCGGAGGAGATCTGTGATGCAGCCTCAAAATGCCTGTGGGTTTTTTTACGTGGTCCCCAGGCGTCTCTGTCGCCGCGATTAGCTTTCTGCGGCATGAGCAGTGCAGTGAAATTTTTCTTCCTGCTACTGTCTTGCAAGCTAAAATTAGAGGTGGGGAAAGGCGATATTTTTTTCATTACTTAGTAGCTTACTTGGCTGTTTTGACTTGGATGTAGAATACATCCCTTTTACTATATTGTGTGCATTTTGTGATCTGATACTTCTGATTTTGAAACTTGACTACTTAGTCTTGCCATAATTAATCATAATTTGTAAAGCATATCAATAAAGGATTCATTTAATTATTCTGTACCAGCAGAAAAAAAACACTTTTTTTTTTTCCGTGCAAGTGCTTTTGGGAGGTTGACAGGGTAAATTTGAGGCTTTTGCATTCTCAGTCTGTGATTCCCTTATCTCTCCTCCCTCATCCCCCGTTGGAAAACATGGCTATGGTGATGAAATTGGCCTTTCTGTGAGTATCACGAGTATTGCATAAGTAAGAGGTTTTTTACCTTCTGTGTAGTTCAGTGTTTGGGGGTACCTCTTTCTCTAACAAATGTTTGTACTTTTATTGTAAGTTAGATACTATGACTGCTAGTAAAACAACTATAATATGAACACTTGATTTGTCTTTCTAGGTTTTGTTTTTCCCCACCCCGTCAATTTAATTTTATTCTTTTGAAGATTCTTCGTTGTCAAGCCGCCAAAGTGGAGAGTGCGATTGCAGAAGGGGGTGCTTCTCGTTTCAGGTACTAGTACCTTTTTTTTTTTTTTTTTTTTTTTAAATGAACACTTGGCAGCGGAAACTGTCCTTTGAGGAGAATTTTGAATTTGACTTACGTTTATACCAAAACTGGCATGTAATTGAAAGCGTTGGGGTTTTGAACTTACACAGGATTACATGGTTGTTTTTAACAGTGCTTCTTCAGGCGGAGGAGGTGGTAGGGGTGCACCTCAGCACTATCCCAAGACTGCCAGCAACAGGTATGTCAATTTGCTTTTCGATTTGGCGTGATTTTAAAGGCAGAGAAAGGTTGATGGTGAATACTGAGTTGAAAATAGAGTATCTTTAACTTGTACAAGGAATACCTACTGAGTTCATGGCATGTTAATATCCTCCAGTCTGTGGCAAGATAGCATATAATATGTTCAAAGTGTGCGTCATGATACAGTCATATGAGGTACACAGAGTTTTTCATGCATTCCACCTCAAAAGTTTAGAGGAAGGGTTTTCTTGGGTGTCTTTTTTTTTTTTTTTTTTAATTGTTGACTGAATACTATGCAATAGATGTTGCAGTGTTGGTGTGGGTAAGTGCATGCTCTTAGCAAAGCTAGTAACAGAATTAGCCTAAGTAAGGCAATACTGAAAGGTTAAAAGGCTAGTTCTTGAAATTGTTTGTTTCTGTTTAACAATCATATTCTTAAAAATTTTACAGCGAGTTCCTGGGGAAAACCCCAGGGCAAAACGCTCAGAAATGGATTCCTTCACGAAGCACTAGACGAGATGACGACTCCGCAAACGACAAAGAACGACATGATGCAATCTTCAGGAAAGTAAGAGGGTAAGTTCTTTGTGACTTTTTTTTTCTTTCCTTACTGTTTTCTTCAGCAATATATATCTCCAATAAATGGGCTGGAGGAAGGGAAGACGTATGGGTCTTGAGTTTGGGGGGGCTAGGGGGTGGGGGGCAGGGCATGTGGTGTCCTTTGGAGGGAATGAGGCAGAAACTATAGGCGAGCAGCAACAAACACTTGAAAAGTGATTCTTGTGAGAGGATTAGTCTTTCCAATAATACTTTACCTTCTAAAGATGTCTCCAAAAAATGGTTGAATGGAAAATTGCACTTTTCAATTCTTGTCTAATAGAGTTAAGAATTAAAGGTAAATTTCGGTCTAAAATTACTTGTAGCGTGCTTACAAGATGTGTAATTTGGATTTTTATTTTTGTGTGTCCTTCTTTAGCATACTAAATAAGCTTACTCCTGAAAAGTTTGACAAGCTATGCCTTGAGCTCCTCAATGTGGGTGTAGAATCTAAGCTCATCCTAAAAGGGGTCATACTGTTGGTAAGCTGGCTGCATTTCTTTTAACTACAGTTTTCTTGCATGTTAAAAATACAGGTTGGCTGTTTTTGATGGGATACAGAAGTAACATGGCTAATGTGGTATTTGATAATCCAAACATACAGAAATAC